GAGCCGAGCGGCCGAGCCGACGAGTTCGGCTCGATTGCCATCACTACTTGCAGATTGCTGGTCTATCGGTTGTGGGCCGAGACCACTATGTTCTAGGGGTAAATTGTTAAATGTTAGGGACGCAAGTACTAAGCAGATCAATGATGTAGCGATCGAGAATTTTAAATTATTATCTTGAAAAACGTGTCGCTAAGCTTTAACCTAAATTTTAAAGTTAAAGCGTGTTCGTCTAGCCATTATAAAACCAGTTTAAATCCATTCAACTCAAATTCAATCCCGAATATTTTAACGCATCGAATTTCTTATCATTTTTAAATCCAAATTTAAATAATTATAAGTGAAAGGTTTTATTTAGGGTCCAAAATTTTAATATCCCNTTTAACTCCCACGTTAAAATGAAAGCGTGTTCGTCTAGTCGTTATAAAACCAATTTAAATCCATTCAACTCAAATTCAATTCCGAATATTTTAACGTATCGAATTTCTTACCATTTTTAAATCCAAATTTAATAATTATAATGCACAATATTTTATTGTTTAGAGTCCAACATTTTGTTAGCCCAATCTCGATTTTCTTGGCCCAGTTCATTTAGGCCCAATTAGGAAAGCTCTCACAGCCCAATTATTTAGCCCAATTGGTTACCTAGCCAACTGCTTGTGTGGTTGGTGTGAAATTCACTATTTTTGTAAGGAAATTACAGTGAATTCACTATTGATGCTAGAACAGGAAGCTCACGAGCTGCAAACCATCAACAAAAAAATGGTGATTTCAGCCACTTCGAACGGTCCAACAGAAACCACCATCTCCTCAGCCCAACACCACCACCTCCAGCTCACGAGACCAACCACAAACCACCACAAAAACCGAGAAAATAATCAAAACACATGAACTTACATTGTTCCCCAAACCATTTTCGAGCTTGATTGCCACCAAGGAGCCCATGAATCCGAACCCTTTTGCTTTGATTTTCGAACCGTGCGCCCAAAGTAAAACTCTCCCCACAAGCATCGGCGTCACCGCACGTGCATTTAGTTCTAAAGTTCCAAAAGTATATTTAGGGCCTGTTATTGGATGGAGTGCCGGCCCCACTGGTACCTTTATGTACACTCTGATGTACTTGTAGCAAAGTCCTTATTTTTTATTCTCAAATTTTACAGTAAATCAATTCTCATTTTCAACCACACATTCTTCAATAAAATAATATTTTCCATCACATCAATAATTTTTTCTTCTTTTTCAACCACACATTTCCCATCATATCACTATTCAAAAATCA